CCCCCATTCATATTAAATTAGATAGAATGTTAATCAACTATTCTATGCTTGATAGGTTTCCTAACGCTTTTTATAAAGTCTTGCCTACGCATTGTTCGGACCATTCTCCTTTAATTTTATTTGCTGACAAGTGGGTTAAAAAACCCTCTAGATTCTTGTTTAAAAATTTCTGGATTAATATGGTTGGTTTTTGGGAGGAGGTTTTAAATGCCTTTGATATGCAATTTAATTGTAGTCCTATTGCTACTTTTTATAAGTCTTTGCAGATTCTTAAGAATTCTTTGAAGAATAAGAATTGGTCTTCTTCGTGCTACATTTTAAATTCTTTGCAAGTTTTAAAAGATAAGCAGATTAGTTATATTTCTGATTTGCAAAATGACCCGTTAAACATGAATTTAAATAGGCTTTACAAGCACACTTGTGACAATATCAATATTTTAAGCAAAGCTTGGTCTTCTTGGCTGTTTCAGAGAGCTAAGTCCAAATGGCTTAGAAATGGTGAAAATCACCTTGGTTTTTTATATGCTCATATCAGAGCTAGGAATAATGTGAATGCTATCAAAGAAATTACCACTTCTAATGGTAATTTTGATAATCATGCTGATATCGCTGAGGAGATCATTAAGCATTTCAAAGAGATTTATAACTCTCCTAAGCCGGTTAAGGAGAACAATTTCAATATTCCAGTAGGTAATGTGATTCCATCGGATAAGATTGGTTCTTTAACGGCTCCTTTTTCTGATTTGGAGATTAAGAATGTGGTTTTTAATGGATCCTCTAGCTCTGCCCCGGGTCCAGACGGTTACACTTTTGATTTCTATAAAAAATCTTGGCATATTATGGGGCATTATTTATGTAAGGCCATCAATAGTTTTTTCTCCACTTGCCATCTCCCCAAAGGGGTTAAAGCTTCTGCTATTATTCTTATTCCCAAAAAACCGCATGCTAACAATATTAATGATTTCAGGCCGATTTCTTTATGCAATGTGTTCTACAAGATTATTGCTAAACTTCTGGCTAATCGTATGAAACCTATTTTACCATTCATTATTCACGAGAGCCAGGCTGGTTTCATCCAGAACAGAAATTCTACTGATAACATTTTGCTTGCCTCTGAAGTTCTTAGAGAATTTAACTTTACCAATAATCTTTTTTGTGCAAAACTTGATATTAGAAAAGCTTTTGATTCTGTTTCCCGTAGTTTTTTATTAAATAGAATGAGGCATAAAGGCTTTCCCGATATTTTTATTAAGTGGGTCAAAAGTTTTATTTCTAATGTCCATTTTTCGATTTGCTTGAATGGTTCTTTGGAAGGGTTTTTTAACTCTTCTTCTGGACTTAGACAAGGTTGTCCTTTATCGCCTCTTCTCTTCTGTTTAGTTATGGACGCGTTATCTTGCAGCTTAACCTCAATTTCCTTAGGTTATAACACGGCTGGTTTTAAATTTAATGGCAACAATTTTAACCATCTCATGTATGCTGATGATTTACTTGTTTTTGGGTCTGCTAGCCTCATAATGCTAGAAGTTTAAATAAAATTCTATCTGATTTTTCGGATGCTTCAGGTCTTAGTATCAACTCCTCTAAAAGTTCTATTATTTTTTCACACCACTCTATGGATGCTGAATAATTTTGTAGTATTATGGGAATTACTCAGAGGAATAGCTTTCTTACTTATCTGGGGATTCCTATCTCTCCTGACAGGCTTAAAGCTAATCATTTTCAGCAGCTTTTAGGTAATACTACTTCCCTGCTTGATGGTTGGAAGGTGAGACTCCTATCTCTTGCGGGTAGAGTTCAATTCTTGAAGTTTACTATTTCTAATACTCTTGCATATTGGATAAAAGGATCTATTATTCCTAAAGGCATATGTAAATCTATTTCTAAGCTGTGTTCCAAATTCCTTTTTCATGGGAATATTAATGGTAAGAAAATTCATATGATTGCTTGGGATAAAACTGCTATCCCTAAGAAGAAGGGTGGTTTAGGGATTGCCTCTATAGACTCTCTTTATTATAGTTATTACTGCTCTTTTATTTGGAACATGCTATCTCAGAATTCTTTGATTACTTCCTGGTTTAAGTATAAATACTCTTCTCCCTGGAAACCTCCGTCTGCAAAAGCTACTAAATTCTGGAAAAATATCTGTAATACTACGCAGAAAATCAAGGATCATTTTACCTTTCAGATTAGCCCTTCGGCTAACTTCTCTTTATTCTGGGATCCATGGTTTAATGGGAAGTCTCTTGCTGAGTGTTTTCCGGTGGCTAAGCAGTTCTCTGAATTAAACATTCAAGACTGTATTAGCAGTTTTCATTGGAGGCTTCCGGATTCTTTTCCTGATAATATTGGGCATGTTATTTACTCTGTGGAGATTAAAGAGCAACCGGCTTTGGCTTGGGACGGCTCTTTTAATCCTAAATTTAAGAATTTTATTACTTCTTACTATGATCATTTGGAGGAGGTTTCTTGGCATAATTACGTGTGGCACAAGTATTATTCTCTGAGATATTCTATTTTTACATTGATGGCTATTTTGCAGAAATTAAAAGTAGCTGACTTATTGATCAAGAGATCAATCCAGTTCTCACCTGACTGCTGTCTCTGCAATAAAGCCAAGGAAGATCACAACCATCTATTCTTTTATTGTGACTTTACCTTTCACGTCATTACTAATCTAATTCCTGAATTTAAAACTTTCTTACTAAGACCCATTTTGATTCAGGTTTTTGAGTCTTTGGATAACCCACTGCACTTTAACAAACGGGAGAAAGATTTTTGCTGCCTGACAATTTGTTGCACCGTTTATCATATATGGAGAGAAAGGAATAATCGTCTATTTGCTAACAATTGGAGTTCGCCGGATACTATTATTAGCGCCATAAAAAATGCTATCAAGGTCAAGGCTTGTAGCTGTAAAAATTACAACCACCTAATTGAGAAATTCCAGTTTTGATTGGGTTCCAGATCTTCTGTTTTGGTAGTTTGCTCTGTCTTGCCGGAGGATTTTTCTGCTGCTGACTCTGGCTTTTCGTTGTGTCTTGGTTACTTTATAACTGTCTACCTAGTCTTGGTTATTTAGTTTTGTGTTTCTTGCTAGTTTATCAAGTCTGTATTTGCTCCTTTGTTTTTGGCATTCTGTTTCTTATGTTTGTCATCTTGTAACCTTCGTTTTTATTAATAAAATGGGCTTTTCCCCGATTAAACCCAAAAAAAAAAATGTCTAAAAACTTAAAATGAAAATTTCAAGCAATAACTTCCAAGTTCAACCAACACTTATGCAACATTTAGGTCAACATATAGGAATGTTGCATTTGTTGGTGGAAAAAAATTAAGTGGAGTTAATCTACTTAATCAAACACAATTTTTTAAAAGATTACAAGACAAATTACATCATAAAAAAGTCTACTTGATCAAGTACAAACTTTCAATCAAGTATGGACCTATGCCAGTTTCAAGGCCTAAATTAGCATATTTTGACTTCACAGTGACCGAATAAGCTCATATTGACTTCATTGGCATTCATACAAACTCCAAGGTGTAAGAGAATTCCATGTATGCTTAAACTAGACCAACCATAGTCAAATGAAACCCAAACAAACTAACAAGCCTAAAGCTGAGCTCAACTACCAAGATTAGCCGGATTCAAGCTAGTCAGTTTTTTTTTTGTCATTACATAAGTAGCAGCTCACAGCCCCATTGCCTCCACCAGTGTGCTCCACATGGTCACAATAAATCATAAGTCCATACTTTCTTTGAGTTATTATGGCCACTGCACAGCACCTCATCTAGTGAGGAGGAAGAGAACCCCAATTAAACTTTTTCTAGTGATCTACCACATGAAACTCTAAATAGTCATCAACATTGAGATCATGAATCATTGCATAAATCAATAAGTTTTATGAACCATGACCGATGAGGGAAAAACTCTATCAGGCTCATGCTCAACAAAGATTCGAGAGATCCCACCGGGTTAGCTGAAGCGCAAACCTTTTTTATCATATATTATATAAATCAAGGTGGCAACACGGGATTATAACATGAGCAATATTCAGTTTTGCCTAAGATGATTAAAGGGCTTTTATGTCGGGTGTTGAAAAATATCTTCTATGATTAATTTCTACTGTCATGCTTAATTTTCAATTCTATTCTTAATTCAGCTTTATTAAATTTAAGCTACACCCAAAACTTCAAGATTCTCTTTGCCAGGGAACTAATCAATTAAGAAGATCAAACAGACAGAAAGGCATTCCTTGCCCTTAAAAGGAACAAAGCCTTTCCGAAAGAACAACTAATCCTATGAAAAATAAATTAAAAATGGTTTTTTCTATAAGGTTACAAAGGCAACCTATCAAATGGATGATTCAGACAAGCTGAATATCTCATAAAAAGCAAAAGTAAGATGATGCTTTTGCATAAGTTGGCTGCTGCATTGACCCACTCTAAAAAAATTGCAAAACAAAACCAAAGTAATCTTAAAAAAGAATGGTACTATAAACATTGGCTACTTCAGACCTAATTCTTCCACTAATAGGTCAGCTAGCCTTCTTCTAAATAAGTGCTTTTACTTCACGTATATAAGATGTATTTTCTTGAACTTATTGCTTTGTCCACTTACACGGACTAACCGAAAGGCCTTAATCTAATTTGACTGTCAGTATATATGATATGTCGTTAATGAAACACGGTCCTATTTACTGCGCCTTTATAGGAAAATAATATAAAGTGCCAACCTGAGCTTGGAAAAAACAGGACTAATTTTATCAACCAAGAATAAGGAAAGCCTAGAGATTTGACATCATACAGCTTTCCAGCAAACGAAACAGGAATTGTTATGCAGGCAAGTAGGGCCCTTCTATTTCAATTTTATTAAGGTAAAAAATATGGAAAGACAGTTTAATAACAGTTAAAATGTAACATAACCCTGCATTCAGAAATTTAGATATATCCTATGAGATTCAACAGCAACTGTGTTATGTAATTTAATCAGCTAAGCTTACCTTGTCCCAACAATCTCCAGAGAGTTGGACTGAATAGCTAGAGCATCTGGATCTGTTTGAACTTTTATCATTGACGGCCTAATATGAATGGTTCTGAAGGGTAGCTACAAACATCAATTTTACACAATAAGCTTTCTGTAAAAGTAAAGATGATATAATGCAGATTCAAACGGCAAGCATTCCAGATAAAGAATCATTTACTGTATAAATAATGTAAGTGAAACTGGCCATTTCCATACTACCGTTGCATCAAAATTTAGAAAAGAGTAGTGCTAGCCAGTTATGAGGCGAAAAAAAAACTAACTAAATAACCTAGTTGCCAATGAAGCATTTTATCTGCCTTTTAAAACGATGCCTTAGACCAAACGTAGAATTCTTAATCCAAGTAAATAGCAAAATTAGAGAGTTTGAGAGAATTATTAGAGAAGAGAAATCATGCTGAGATTCCTTGACTTTGAAATGCCACAATAATAAATCAAGACAGAAAGTTATTATTTGACGTAGAAAACCTAATATCTCCACATGAAAGAAACACAAGTTTGTTAAAATTGTATTCATGACCACAACGAATATAAAAAGCCAAAATAAAAAACCAAATGCATGTAACAAAAAATTATTATGTGTACCTGCTTATTAATTAGAAGTGTTCCTTTCACAGCATAGCCATTGTTGAACAGTCGAAATTGAATAAGAAGTGGCTTTACAGAATGGTAGAACAATAAATCACTTCAGAATTGTGTAAGAGAAAGTAAGATAATTTAAAATTATAACACATTATCATATGCTCTACATACTGGCTCGACAATGCTAGAATTGTACTCTCTAGTGTTTAAAGCTCTATCCAATCTCTTAAATTCATCCAGGACTTCCTGCATGCAATATTGCAATAATCATTTTTAGGGCAAACTAGACAAAAAATGAATTAGTGTAATATGCAGAAATGGAAGATAAATCAAGGAGTAAAACAAATTAGAAAGAGAAATTTGTAATATCCATTCATTTTCTAAAGAAAGCTATTATCTTGTTAGATCCATCAAAATAGAAGCCAAAGAAATGAATATGGTAAATAACGCTCCCACCAAATGTAGTTTCGTAAGAAAGAATGACAAATGCAAAACTTTTTCTAAAATTAGCAAAGTGGCCTGTTCCAAGATTCAAACTTATGATCGCCAGATCAAATGAAGAGACTTGCAATTTTAGATGTGTTCAAAAATGACAGTACCTAATTGATAAAAGATATCAAAAAGATAATTGAGGAATACTTTGTTGGCTTCGAAAATTCGAGCACCGACCTCTACACTTTTTTTTATCAGCAATATAGGGAGACGTGGAAGTTACAGCCAAAGGATTGTGATGAACTGAACTGGACAAGGTTGTTCCAAAAAGTTAAGTTTATACATACCTATAGAAGGTTTAACAGAGCAACCCATTTTTGTGCTCAAGGGGCTGTCGAGAGTTCTTTTACTTGGGATAGTGGGGATAGATTCAATGAATGTATTCCTAAAGTTTTTTTTTTATATATCCTTGAGGAGGATAGATATTTTTCCGTTTTTGAAAGGCCGATTGGCCGTTAGTTTTTCCTTTTTGTTTTTAGTTGTATTACCCCCATTTGATTAGAGAAATGCAAATGCAAAAGTTCAGCTCTCTCTCTCTCTCTCTCTCTCTCTCTCTCTCTCTCACTTATTCTCTCTCTATCCCTCTCTCCCTCTCTCTCTTATTCTCTCTCTCTCTCTCTCTTATTCTCTCTCTCTCTCTCTCTCTCTCTCTCTCTCTCTCTCTCTCAGGAGGCCGGCTGGCTCCCCCCTTCGCTCGGGCTTGACTGGAAATGGGAAGACATTGCAATGTATTTTGCAATTAAATTACCCAAGTCAAGGCAGAGTCGAGATACAATCTAGGTTGTTATAGATAAACTAACCAAGTCAGCTCATTTTTTACCAATTAAGCAGACAGATCCAATGGAAAAGTTAGTTAAACTACATGTTGATAAAATTATGAGATTACATGGAATTCCAAAATCAATTATTTCTAATAGAGAAGCCCGATTCACTTCTAAATTGTGGAAGCAAATTCATGAAGTTATGAGTACCAGAATGACTTTCAGTACAACATTTCATCCTTAGACAGATGGGCAATTAAAAATGATAATTCAGACTTTGGAGGATTTACTACGATTGTGTGTATTAGATTTTTGAGAAAATTAGGAGTTTCACATACCGTTGATTGAATTTGTATACGTGACTCTTTATGAAAGAAAGTACATAACACCCTTGTGTTGGGTAGAAACAAGTGAAAGAAAAATAATTAAAATTGAATTGGTAGACGATGCTACTAGCAAAATTAGATTGATCAAAAATAGACTAAAGGCAGTACAAGACAAGCAACGAAAGTATTGTGATGCAAAAAATACAGACCTTTACTAGGCAGCCAAAGAAGAAAAGACAAAATGAAATAATTTTTTTTAAAATCATTATCTGTGCCGAGATCCTGCCGTAAATCTTGCTCAAATCCCGTCGCCCATCCCTCTGCAGCAGCGCCGAACTCACGTCATTTCTACCCATGATCGTTCGCACGACTCGTTCAAGTCATTAAAAGCTCGAAAGCAATGAGGCCTTCGGCCTCTGATGGGATTCCTCTCTCTCTCTCCACCCGAGCTCTCTCACTCTCCCTCATTCCTATTTCGACCTCGCTCCAGCGACGGTTTTCCCTTCCAGCTGATCGGAAGAAACGATTGGAGCTTGCCGATCGTGAGAGCTCCTGTGTCGTCGTCTGACTTCGTCGCTTCTTCGATTCCCTTCGTAGTTGTGTGACTCCCCTCCTACGACGTTCCCCTCTTGTTAGGATCGGAAGTTGCTGCATTCAAATCGGAAGCAACAATAAGAGCTCACAAGCTGTGAAGACCTTTCTCCGTCCCGAGCGCTTCTTCAAACCCTGTCCTGTTGCTCGACTTCACTCCTTCGATGACTGTTCCGTCCAGCCGAAATGGAAGTTACCACATCTTGATCGGAAGCAAAGAATGGGAGCCCGTCACTGTGAAGATAACTCTCTACCTTTCGTGTGCTTCTTCGGTTCTTCGTGGTTGTTCGACCCCGCTCCTTCGTCGCCCCCTCCCCGTTAGATTGGAAGTTAAGACATTTCGATCGGAAGCAAGTAAAGGAGCTCGCCGGATGTAAGGGTAACTTTCTTCCTTTCACGCACTTGCCCGGCCAAACCCCGTAAATCCTCTAAGCCGAGAAAGAAGGGGGAGAGTTGCATTTTATTTTTATTAGAATTATGATAATTATTATTATTACTATAACTAATTAATTTTATTTATAAATTAATTATAGTTAATTAAAATTTAATGCTTCTGAGCTCTCGAAGACTCCTGAAGAGAAGAAAAGTCAAGTTTGTTCAAAATTTTCTTTGAAGAACGGGATAAAGCTATATCCCAAGTAGAGTCGGAACTTGAAAAAGAAGTAGGAACAATAGGCTCACCAGTCACACATTTAGCTGATCCCTGCCCCGGATCCACTAAGTCTTCCTTGGGAATCACTACATCTTCTAATTTCATGTTTCTGTCAATCCATTATTGAAAAGTGAAGCAATCTTCCAGTTGATGGCCTAACATTTGGTGTTAGGGGCAAGAATTCTATTGATCTGACTTACCCACTTCGTCTAGCCTTTTAGGTGCAAGTAGTTTGAAGTCTGGCTTTTTCAGAAGATTTTTTCATATCCTCTTTAAAGCCTCCTTTTTAAATGGATAAGTCTTACTAACCATTACATTGAACTTTTCCCTTCTTTCTTTTATCTCTTTCAGAGTAAGGTAAGGTCGTTTCTAATTAAACTTGGGATGAAACTGTGCTGGAAGATACTATGGTCTCTGATACTGTGGTGGCGGATACTAGGGCCTATGATACTGCTGACTATAGAACTGTGAAGGGGGATTTTCTGCCTGAACTTTCATTGGTTGCTTTCCCTTATCAACAGCTGACACCGTAATCTCCTATGTTATCAATGTGGTAAAGTGGGACATGAAATTCATTCTTGCCCGGACAATGTCTCTATTGGCATTTTGGATCAGAACAAAGATAAATCAGATGAAGACCATGTGTGATGTCAAATTGAAGTAGGAACATTGACCATTTTGCCAAACGCCCCGACAACGTTGGACGAGTCATCAGGTATTGGAGTGGATTGACTCTAGAAATGAGATTGATCTTATGAGCTAACATGTAATGCCTTCATTTTTGGGCAGCAAAAATCAAGGCCAAACAATGTTTCTCAATAGGCGGAGAATTAGCTTCAGTTGGCAGAAGTCGCCTACTCAAGTAGTAAAGTGCGTTCTCTTTTCCTTCCTCGTTAGTCTGGGCTAACAAGGCGCCAAGAGAACTGTCCAAAGCGGCGGTGTAAAGTATGAAAGGTTTTCTTGGGATAGGAGCCGCTAGAACTGGTGGTGTCAAAAAAGACTGCTTTATGCTTTCAAAAGCATTTTGACACTTTTCATCCCAATGAAATCGGGCATCTTTCTTACATAAAGCGGCAAATGGTTGACACCTACCAGACAGGTTGGAGATGAATCTTCGTAGATATGCCAACCTACCTTGAAAAGATCTTAATTGGGTAAGGCTTTTAGGAGGTTGCATATCTAAGATGGCTTTGATTTTGGAAGGATCAATTTCTATACCTCGGTGTCTCACTACGAATCCTAAGAATTTCCCCGAAGTAACTCCGAAAGCACATTTCAAGGGATTCATCTTTAGATCATAGCGGCGCAACCTTTCAAAAACGATTCTCAGATCATGAAGGTGGTCTTCCCTTTGATGACTTTTGACGACCAAATCATCGATATAACATTACACCTGTTGGTGTATTAGATCATCGAAGATTCGGGTCATAGCTCGCTGGTAAGTTGCACCAGCATTCTGAAGTCCAAAGGGCATGACTTTGTAACAGAAGACCCCTATAGGTGTTCTGAAAGCAGTGAATTTTTCATCTTCAGGGGCCATCTTGATTTGGTTATATCCAGATGAACCATCCATAAAAGAGAAAATTGCATGCTCAGAGGCGATGTCTACCATGAGTTCCGGTATGGGCAACGGGAACTCATCTTTTGGACAAGCCTTATTCAGATCCCTATAATCGATGCATACGCGAATTTGACCATTCTTTTTCTTTACTGGGACGATGCTAGCCAAGGGATATTTTTCCTCTCGAATAAAGCCTGCATCGATCAGTTTTTTCACCTCGGTCACAACTTGTTGTTCAATTTCTAAGCGCATGCGCCGTGGGGCTTGTTTGACAGGGACTATGTCAGATTGAATTTCAAGTTTATGGACTGCTATTTCTGGAGATAATCCAGGCATCTCGTCATAGCTCCAAGCAAAGCAATCCTTAAACTCTGAAAGTAACTTGACTAAGTTCGTTGACTCGTCCTCATTCAACAAGGCACTTATGAATGTCGGACGTGGATTTTCTTCGTTACCAAGGTTGATTTCTTTTAGTTCATCAACAGTTGATTGGATCTCCTCCTCAAGTTCAGGAGGTGCCTCCTGAACTTGAAAGTCATCCGAATCATCTAGAGTTTCTAAACAAAATTCATCAAGAATTTCAATGTCATTTACAAAGAGACGATCAGATCCTAGATTGTTAGTTATCACCAAGCAGTAATCATCATCATCAAATGGACAAACAGTACTAAAGCCCAGTCCTGCTTTTGACTTTGGTTTCTAGTCTTCTGTATTCCAAAGACTTTCAAAGGACTGAGCTTGACGTTTGGTCCAAGTAGACGGAGTTAGACCATGCTCAACTAAATATTTCACACAATAAGGATACCAATCAAAAGGGAGTTCCACTATTTCATTCATAAAAGGATCATCAATGTGTACATCAGTTTCAATATTCTTGCTAGAAGAAGGAACAAACTTAGCAGCTTTACAATCATTGCTCAAAGCAGGTGAAACCTTAACTGCCAACCCGGCTATACTATCTTGCGATAGTGGGGTTAGAGCTAAAGTCTTCACATATCCTTTAAGCGTAGACAAATCTGAATCATCCTCTATATTTATATTTGCCTGAATTTTATCTTCATCACTGTCGTGTTCCAAAGAGATCTCAAATTTTGGCCTTTTGTTACTGTTTTCAGCCTTCGATACACATGATTCATCTTCTGAACCAGATTCTAAATCGATGTGTATCGTAGGGGTTTGCTTTTGTATGATTTCATTCATTGCACTTTCATAGTTTTGCCATCCTCTACCTCGACCTCGTCCCCACTGAGTCATCCTACCACCTCTTTGTGAGGGAGGAGTAGGATGCCAGCGGATACTATCTTCGAGGCAAGGATATTCTTCATCTATTTTTTCTTCTTTTTCATTTTTCTTTTCTAGTGCAATTTCACTTTTGGCCAATTTGGGATCTTCAGAAGCAACTGTTTGCTTTTTAGGCAAATAATAGGCGGCGTCTTCAGAAATTCCTACTTCATTAATTGAGAATGGTTGCAAATCTCCCTTAATGCAGTGCTCAACACCATCTCGAATGTACTTAATGCACTGATGAAGGGATGAAGGAACCATCCTATATTCATATTCATGAAGCCAGGGCCTACCTAGAAGAGCGTTAAAAGATGTTGGAGCGTCTAGAATATGAAACTTTGCTTCAATTCTTCAATCTCCAACAACAAAGTAACAGAACCCAAAGCCCTCTCGCCATTTTCGTGAAAACCCCGTAAGATCATTTTGTCTGAACTGAGCTTACGGACGTCTATTCTTAAATAGGCAAGAGTTCTGAGAGTCATAATATTCACTGATGCACCAGGATCAACAAGGATACGTGACAATCTGAAGTTATCTATGTTTACTGTTATGTATAGTGGACGGTTGTGATCAGCCGTCCCTAAACATAGATCTTCATCAGAGAAAGAAATTTCAGGAACTCCTTTAGAACAAAGAGCTTCATCAGGCTGTGCAGCTGCTAACTGGGCCATGCAAATATCCGGATCTAGCAGGGCCTTGATTAACGCTTCCCTCATTTCTTTGGAAAGGATCAAGGCATCGTAAATGCTCAGTTTGGCAGGCAGCTTCCTGAGATGAGCTAGGACATTGTAATCGACCTTGGGCATTCCACTTTCAACTGGACGAACAGGTTGAGGTGGAAGAGAAGATTCTGGTTCGTCAACAGCTTGCTTCCCTTTATCTTCAGAAGAAGTTTGAGGTGGTAGCACCTTGCCACTACGAAGTTTGATTTGCACTATCTCTTCAGAGGAAGTGACAGGCGGGTTATCTACTTCGACCTCAGCTAACTCTGATTTCATTTCTATGAAATCTTCAGAATCCGACATCTCTGCTTCAATACAGATAGGCGTACCCTGCAAATCAAGAACAGGGGCATCACTATCTGAATAATAGCCAAGAGAATGTTTTCATTCTTCAAAGTGAAATTGATCATGCAGAGAATCATTTTCAGATATGTTTTTCAAGTCATCCGTAACATCCCTATCAGAAATAGACAAGATATACACAGAATCCTTTTTCATTGATTTCATAACATCACATGGAACAAAGTCAAAGTCATCTAAAGTAAGAGGATTGAGGATTATAGCCTCCCCATCCGCAGAAAACACAACTTTACGGGACATAACACTGTCAACACTACTAAAAGAAACAAAACAATCTCTAGTATCCTCCTTCTCCTGAACTATAGGACCCTGGCTGACTTGGGCTTCCTTAAGCTCCGAAGGTGGAGTCATCTCTATGTCATCCTCTGCTCTGGAACTATCAGATCAACCTGGAAGGGCTTCTGAGCTCCCAAAGACTCCTGAAGAGAAGAAAAGTCAAGTTTGTTCAAAATTTTCTTTGAAGAACGGGATAAAGCTATATCCCAAGTAGAGTCAGAACTTGAAAAAGAAGTAGGAACAATAGGCTCACCAGTCACACACTTAGCTGATCCCTGCCCCGGATCCACTAAGTCTTCCTTGGGAATCACTACAGCTCCTAATTTCATGTTTCTGTCAAGCCATTCTTGAAAAGTGAAGCAATCTTCCAGTTGATGGCCTAACATTTGGTGGTAGGGGCAAGAATTCTGTTGATCTGACTTACCCACTTCGTCTGGCCTTTTAGGTGCAGGTAGTTTGAAGTCTGGCTTTTTCAGAAGATTTTTTCATATCCTCTTTAAAGCCTCCTTCTTAAAGGGATAAGTCTTACTAACCATTACATTGAACTTTTCCCTTCTTTCTTTT